CCGCCCCCACCCCCCGCCCAGCCACTGCCCCCTACCCCAGCCCCAGTGGCTCTGGCAGGGCTCCATCCCTGCTACAGCCCAAGGCAGGGATCATGTAGTTGTGTCAACCTGGCCTGGTAGCAGGCGGCTGCTGGTGGGTTGGCCTGGGCTGGTGCTGGAGCAGCTATATGCTCCCTGCCCCAGGCTGGAGTAGGAATGGACCCTGTCTGAGCCAGAGCGTAAGTGAGGGGTCAGGGCAGGGGGCAGTAGTAGCTTCTGAGGGGGTAGGTGAAGGGGTAGAGGCTGCAGGGGAGAGGGTAGGCAGCAGCTGCAGCTACAACCACAACTGTGGGTTAGAGCTGCAGCAATTACCCCCTGACCCCCCAAACCAGCCACCTTGTACTTGAATCTAAGATGAGGAGCATCCCCCCCCATTTAATGGAGGGGGCACCTCATCTTGGATTTGAGTAAATGCAGTAATTTTTTGTACAACCAAGCCCTTACCTCTAACACAAAGAGATCTTCAGATTAGAAATGTCACTTAAGCAGTAACATAAGTGAGGTGGGATGGTGGGGGTACCAACCTTTGGCTCCAATTTAGAGAGGTGAGGAAACCACTGCCCCATGTGCTGCAGAACTGCCTAGTTACATGTCTGCTTATAAGTGTTCACACTTGGCTTCAAGCTTAAATGTTGGGCCTCAATCCAATGAACTCTTAAGCAAATGAAAGCTTTCATATTTGTACATTTAAATACACCTTTATGGTCCCGCTTCTGCAAATTCTTAAATATGCAAAGGCAGAGCAAGATGGCACCTAAGGGCTTCTATACATTTGTGTGGAGCCACAGTGTGTATAGAAAGGCATAAGCTGGCAGGGTGCTTTGAAATAAAACGTGTTCGATGACCTTTATTTCAAAGTGCCCTGCCGCTATTTTTTCAGCACTGGGACGCTGATACACATGACGCACAGGTGCTTTTAAATAAAGGGCCTGGCACCGCATCCCATAGCACATGTAAAAATGCCCTTAAAGACTAAGAAAGGCATAAACTTCATAAGCTACAGCCTACTGCATACATTCATAGCATCTGATAAAGTAGGTTGTAGCCACCAAAAGGTTATGCCTTTCCGAGTGAGTTAGTCCATGAATGCTCAAGCCCTGGCCCACAGGCCACGCCCAGCTCCCAAGCGCAGTCACCTAGCCTGCAGGGCTCCCCAGTATGCTGAAAAACCTGGGGGTGGGGGGAGCACTGGTAGCATTAAATGTCACTTGCCTGCTGCTCAGTGTCTGGACCTGCAGAAAGCCCCAACACTGGCATAATTGGGGGGAGGAGAATGATGGGGTAACCACTGTGCCCCAACTTGGGGGGGATGTTGGGGAAATGGTTGCTTCTGGCAGCTGTGTATTCGCAATTATTATTTCAACAGCAGCCTGAAGTTGCCCTTTTCACTTTGCTGTGGGTGCCTGACTGCATCCCTACATTGCAGGCCTCTCAGGCTGGGCAGCATGGCACAGCACTAAAGCCCGATCCCACTACACAGGGGTGGTGCAGGACCCAATCCTGCTGGGCATGGGTGGTGTAATTTGCTAGGGCCTGATCTCAGTGCATGAAGCCCAGTCCAGCTTGCGGACCAGGTCCCTGCCACTTATCTGGCCCACGGGGCCAAAAGTTTGAGCATCAGAGTTGTTTTATAACTCTGCTTTCTGCCTGACTTCAGACTGGTATGGTTAACTACCTCTTTAAATCTGTGTTTCTCAGCCTTTATAGGCTCAAGGCCCCTCAGAAAATGTCAGCTCTTAGTTTTCATTAATTTTTTGAGACAAGATTATCTTGGGTAAATCTTGTGAATCATGTTTGCACACCTCAGAGTGTTAACACTGTGGTTTCCTACAGCACCTTTGAAAGGATCTCAAGGCACCTGAAGCCATATTCCCTTGGTTGAGAATCACTGTTTTAAATATATGAGTAACTGACTTCTCTAAGATCACACATGGTGAATGAAATGGTACTAGTCATGCGGGTAAAGACGCACATGCTTAATTGTTCGCAGGATCAGACTCTTAACTTTTCTTTAAGGATATACATCTAATTTGTTCTGTCTTTAAATTACTTTAGTCTTGCTGGGAGACGTGAACATGGGGAAGGAAATCCACACTTCAATGACTGAACAGATGTGAAGTTTGTCTCTCAGTGTTGTATATTTGCCATGGTGCTGTGCGTTTCACATGTTCTTTCTATTAAGCACTGTAAAACGTTCGCTGCAGACTTTGCTCTAAAGAAGTATTCTTTTTCATGGTACATACAACTGTCCAGTATGTTGTGATACACACCTTATTTGGTTGGCTGTTTACTTATGTTTGCCACCTCCCTGGTATTTCCAAAGACTGCATACACTTGACAAAGAAGAATGGATCATTGTCAGTTTCCTTACTGTTTAAATCAAGACTGTTTACATCCAATGCAAGACTTTCTTCCTCAGGGCTCTGATCACAAGGAGCCAGGCACAGCAACTAAACCCATGCAGCTGTGCTGTGCCTGGCTCCATGTCATCAGAGCCCTGAGGAAGGTCTTGCATTGGAAAGCTTGTCTA